CAAATTGTATACTTTTAATATGTGCAGTATATTGTGTGGTGTTAAAAAAAAAAGAGGAACCTGGAGAACAAAGGTTTCACAGGGAGTCATAGGTAGAACTATTAAAGCCATATTTCCTTTTTCTATAATGCATTTCCTTTATTCTTAAAAGTATTTGAAAACAACATTGATTATTAGATGTAGTGTCATGTGTAAATGCAATCCATAATAATTTACAGTTCTGTCCTACTTCTTCCAAAATCAAAGAAGCACAACTGCAACTGTTATTCACATGGATGTTGAAAGGCTGGGAGTCCACATGCTGATGGAGCCACCATAGCCATGGTTACAATATTGCTTATTGTGGACTCCATGACAACAAAGGATGTGCAATGAAAATTCACTAGTCTATACAGTAATATTCACTTCACACAGTGTTTGGAGTTTCTCACATTTTATCTTAGAGCCACCTGCAAGCTCATTAAACACAGATATCTGGGACCCATTACCAGTTTCTGACTGAGTAGGTCTGGTAGGGGGCTGAAAATTTTACATCTCTACCAAATTTACAGATGATGCTGATGAAGTTGCTCGAGGGACCACACTTTAAGAATCACTAAGATAAATGCCCTAGACAAAAAGACAAGGAATCCCTTCATGCAGTTGAATTTAATTATTCATTTGGGTTTGGATTTAAATATGTCCAGGTGGCAGAGAGCAAGCAAGCATCTGAGCAGCCCAGTGGAAATACCCCTGTCAGATGCTCATCCGTCCTTTCCTGTCTCCTGGATCCATTTAGCTCACCACAAACCTATTTTGTAGGTGTAGGAGTCACACACAGATCTTTCTACTTTTCAAATTTAAAATGTTTAATGGTAGCCAAAGGTAGCACCGTGTGCAGTTGAATCCTCGCAGAACCAATGAAGATCATTGTCCACTTGTAAGTTCAACAAGGTGTTTAAACGCCTGTCCTATGTCACACTCTGTGTTATGTACTTGATATTCAGTGGTGAGCAAGTTGGGCACGGTCTTTACCTCTTGGAAATTCCTGTCTATTGGAAAAATTGTCATTATATCAATAATCATCCAAATAAAAGAGCACAATTATGACAAATGTACAGAAGGAGAGCTGTAAATATTATTGACGATCAGTACAAAAATAATGTTCCTGTGAAGACAATGCATGTAATTCTATAACTTGACTGGATCTGTATCTGCCTCCAATTCTAATGATAATTTCTGATATAGTTTGCACTGGACAATTCTACCAGATAATTTTAAAGCGTATGGCACTCCACCTCCCATTTACATTTTCATTGCCTTTGGTTTTATCCCTGAATTTGTGTCTTCTTTCTCTTGTAAGTTGATTTAACTTCTACCTGTTATTACTTTTATATTTTTAGAAGTTATGGTGTCAGTTTATTTAATGTTTATCTTTTCTTTGACTGATTTCATCTCAACCAAAATAGATCTCTTGTTTAATTTGTTATTGTACATTTGGAAGAGAATCAGATTTTCTGAGCTTCACTAAATTACTTCTTCTTTTACAAGACAAATACTTCACAGGAGACCTGAATGTGAGTATTCAATAAATACTTTTCCTCCATTTCCCAATTTTTTTCCTTTATTCTTGCATGCACAGTAAGCTTGTGAAATTCATGAATGATAACTCTCAAAATTTTCTTGAAACCTGAAATTTAAGTATACCACAATGTTTGCATAAGCTTCTAGCTTTCACCTAAATGCCAGTATAGTTCCTCTTCTTATCATCTCACCTTTTAAACTTCCATGAAGAGTTTTATGCAATGCAATTTTCACATTAAAAGGAAATTTCTAATTCCTTCTTAAGGTTACCGTGTAACTAATGATGAACAGAAAAAAATCAAAGTTGCCTCGAGAAGTAGGTGGGGAACAGTTGACCAAATTGGTGCGCTTTTTTTTCGTTTTCTCAGATCTCAGGACATTTAGAACTTTACAGCATCAGAGCTGAGGGCCAAACTCTCAGGGATCACAGCTTTGACAACATAATTGCCTGGGACATTCAAGGCTAGGCTCTATCACCAGCTGAGTGACTCACCAGCTCATGTAGAATACATGAGATTCAAATTTGTGACGGAGCAAAACTTCAAATAACTCCAAATTATGAATGCCAGGGTTGCTTGGGAATTGTTCATTCTGTCTTCCAGCATTTGTAAAATATTTATTCAACAAATTATAAGATCGTGGCCAGTGATGAATACCAAGCCTCTATACTTCATGTTCTATAATTACGCCAAGTTGTATAAAATCATAGACCTCAAGATCCTATGACATTATTTACAACTTGTTTCTTATTTCTCTGATAGCTACAATACCATTTTAGATCCTTATCCCATTCATCCGTTTAAGCATTTTTGACATCTACTATGATGTAAGCACTTTGCCTACTTCTTCATACAATAGGCTCTACTCACTTAAAAAGCCTATAGTTTGGGTAGAAAGAAACACAAACAGACCATTACAATAAAATGTGAAGAGTACTGTATCACAGGGAAGCCCAGAAAAGAAGAGGAAGAAAGACACATCAAGTTTATGAGGTTTAATCCAGTATGTTTTCCCATTGATTTTCCTCTCATTCTGAACATGGTTCATGAAATAACATCCTAAACATGTCCAGAGTCAGCAAGTACCACCCAGCATCTGTGTTTTAGGCCCCACTGCAGCTTTCATTATTAGCAGATCTGACACTTGCCTGTTCTAGTAAGTTATTATGGTTTCTATCAGGACATAGAAAATAGATGTGAAAATAGATGTGATAGACTTGGAATAGAATTTAGTCATGGGAAAAATGTCTGTTTTAGGTTAAAATATCATATCAAATAAATAGTTGCTAGGTGACAACACAGTGTGATTCATATTCTGCAAATGATATAGCTGTAAAAAAATTAAAACTTAGTTTTTCTTTAAAGCATTTTCTCATATTGTCTAACGATGCTAGGTTGGGGACTTTTTTTTTAATTTTTTTAATGTTTATTTTTGGCACAGAGAGAGACAGAGCATGAGTGGGGGATGGGCAGAGAGAGAGGGAGACACAGAATCCAAAGCAGGCTCCAGGCTCTGAGCTGTCAGCACAGAACCCCACATGGGGGTCAAACTCACAGACTGTGAGATCATGACCTGAGCCGAAGTCAGACGCTTAACCAACTGAGCCACCCAGGCACCCCTAGGTTGGGGACTTCTAATACTGTAGGACAAACACATTGACCATTAAATTTTTATTTCAGGAGGGAGTTACTGATACCCAAAGTCCCTGCTGAGACACGGTAGGGTTTTATGATGTGAGATTTGAGGTAGATTTTCCCACGACTTCCATCGTCTCAACTTACTCCAAAAAGGAAAAATAAAAACCTGTATTAAATGAAAGCCCAAAGAATTATTAGAATTGTATGGTTCCAAACAGGGCAAGAGAGTAATATAAGTAATGGGAACATATGTCAGTAGAAACTTACTTTCTCTTTTCCAAAGATAGTGTGCCCCTGTAGGGAGAGACTATCATTTGTTCTTTGGGCTGGCAATACTTAATTCTCTGTTCTGTACTTGGTAGGCACTCAATAAACATTCGGCAACGATTATAAAAATAATGAAGATGAAGTTATTTTAATTTTAAATTAAGTTAAATTCTAGGAAGGTTTTGTAATAAAAGTAAATTTAATATTTCTCCCAGCTCTATTCTTTGCTCTTTAGGACATTTCATAAGTATGTCTTGCCTGTTCAGAATGACACTATGCATTATTCTCAAAGGCATGAATTTTTTCAATCTCTGGAGTCATATTGATTTGGAATAAACATGTCCTTAAAATTCTAATTTAATGTTCTCGGAAAATTTTGCCATTATGGAAGTCACTTTCATATGTTCCTGTGAGAGTCAAGGGAGAGATTTGAATTTCTACTTGATTTCTTGCTTCTATTCAATTTCCTATCCAAGGTGTCAAATTTATCTCTCACTTGTGACTTTCATAGGAAGATATGAGGGCTCCAATGGCAGAAGGGAAAGGACTATATTTATAATTGTCAGTATTTTTATAGCAACAAGCTGCTGGATCAATAAAAGATAATACAGATTGAGCCATTTATATTCTTACAGCTATAATTTAATTTTACGTGGGAGCAATACATAACTTTTCTTTTATGTTTACTTAGCTATCTGTGTCTTGGAGCCCCTTTTTTGCCTTTGAATTGCCAGTTATCCTAATACTGTTTTTATCTTTTATTTTCTGTGAAAGCAGAAGAAAAAATTTTAAGTGTAATGACTATAAAAGGAAATGACACCTTATAAAAGGCATTGTTAAAATGAAGTACTAAATGTCAAGATTCTTAAAGCACAGGAGAAAATTTACATTAGTTTCTAATTATACTCTATCAGCAAATTAAAAAATACAGAGTCTAAAACTGGAATAAGTCTACAAGTGAATCAAAATTGCATTTAAAATGTCTTTTCTTTACCAGATGATCAAAGTACCTATTTTTTTTTTTTCTGTGTGAAATGCCACCTGTTCTATACAGCTTTCCTGATTGGTTGAAAATGAAATTGAAAATTCTGTGCTTTTTCACATCCACCTCAATCATATCTTTTCATTTTGCATTTTGTAGTTTCTCATAATTTCTTTTTTTTTTTTAATTTTTTTTTCAACGTTTATTTATTTTTGGGACAGAGAGAGACAGAGCATGAACGGGGGAGGGGCAGAGAGAGAGGGAGACACAGAATCGGAAACAGGCTCCAGGCTCCGAGCCATCAGCCCAGAGCCTGACGCGGGGCTCGAACTCACGGACCGCGAGATCGTGACCTGGCTGAAGTCGGACGCTTAATCGACTGCGCCACCCAGGCGCCCCGCATAATTTCTCTTTTAATAATCAGTTTCTTATCCATCTAGATGTACATGTCCTGTGACACTCTTTGAAGAAAATATATACGCTATTGTAGTAGATTGAATGCTGCTGTTACATTAGGTAATCACCCACTCTGCTTCTCTATTTTCCTTAAGAGTTCATGAAAACAAAAGGAAGGCAAATCTCCTTATTGACCAAAAATTACACTAACAATTCAACAGACGAACTTCAACAGATGATGAGCAAAGGTGAAATCATATAATTTTGCTTAATCCTTCCATTTCAAAGCAAGTTTGACTAAATGTGTAGTCATATTGATCATAAAATCTGTTTTGTTTGATTATTTCCAGTTGCTAATTAATAAACTGTGGAGTTTAAAAAATAGAGGGGACTATAAATTAAAAATTGAGCTACATTCCTGACTTTGTACATGACCATGAGAATGTCAACTCTCAACTATCCTCAGGTGATTTATGAAGAAAGAAGCCTCTAGAATTTTCTGAAGATTGAAAGCAATAATCCCTCCAACAGTTTTTTTTTTTTAGAAAGTTAAAAGAGCATAAAATTGATATGCAAGCTAGATATAATGACTTATTTCAAACTACTACATAGAGACACTGGTTAATTAAGCTATGTTTAATTGGAATTTGATTATTACCATGAAGATGAGTATTATTTTTTTCATGTGTCACTAAGACCATATGTTTTCAATAAACTCTTTGAGACTCACCTTAACAGTTACCGCATGAGAACAAAGAAAAAAATAAGTTTCATTTCTGTATTTCTCTATTTAGAATTATTTAGGAGAAAGGCCAATGACCACATCAAAATATAGTTCTTTGAGATAAGTACCTTAGTGTTGTCAGCACAACATGAAATATTTAAGATTTCTGCAACAGGAACTAAAATGGGCATTTTGTCACACAATACCAGATATGCCATTTCAGTTGGAATGCATAGAAGTAAAGCATTAAACACACCAGATAACCTTATGAAACTATAGTCTCAAATCTAAGTGAAAATCATGCAAGAGTATCCATAAAACTTGTACTTCTAAAATTCTAGAAAAGGATTTATCTTGTTTTTTCATTATTTAAAAAAATTTTATTTTATATTTATTTATTTTTGAGAGACAGAGGGACACAGAGCGTGAGTGGGGCAGGGGCAGAGAGAGAAGGAGACACAGAATCTGAAGCAGGCTCCAGGTTCCGAGTTGTTAGCACAGAGCCTGACACGAGGTTTGAACATGAACCGTGAGATCATGACCTGCGCTGAAGTCGGATGCTCACCTGAGTGAGCCAGCCAGGCACCTGTCTTGTTTTTTATTTTTAATGTTTATTTATTTTGGAGAGAGAGGGGAGGGAGGAGCAGAGAGAGGATAATGTATGTCATTTTTAAGATCCCACTATATGAATATGCATTCCCTATCCCACTGCCCCACAATCTTTCTAGTATAGTATGCACACTACGTTAGCAGGAACAAATATTCCTTCCTTTGGATCTTCTCTTCAACACTCTGGACATTTTAAAATAACAATTTGTCTTCTATAAGACAAGTCATCAACTAAAATATACAGATATAAATAATCTATTTATAGACAGGCTAATTATATCAATCCAAATAGAACCAAAATTCCTTCATATTTGGACTTGTCCATTGGCAAATAAATGTAAGAAGCTGGCCAAAGTATAATTTAATCCCAATGGGACTGCTATTTAAGGAAAACAAAACAAAAATTCTTAACTTTAACCAATTCTCTTCTATACTCCCCTCTGGGCACATAAATAATAAAAACAACTAATCCCATAGGGATAAATCCATGTCCCCTCCCCAACTTCTTCTTCCTCTTTAATTAGGGACAAAACAACTAAGTAGTACAGTTTGAATATAAACTTGCCAGTATTTCTAAAATGTTACATAAGAAAATTGTCACTAGTATATTAAGAAGAATTCTAACTTGGTACAACATAATCCACAGAGCAAGAAGTCAGGCCTAGAGGGAAAATGAAAGGTCAAAGAGTTGGTTCCAAAAAATCTCCCAACTCTAATGAAATAGTTTGTATTACACAAGGTCTCCAGTCAAAAGCTACTATAAAATCTCAGTCTAAAAATTTTCAGCTTATTTAGGCATTAGAGAGCAATTAAAGCAGCCATGATTAGAGGTACAGATCAAAAAGAGAATGGAAACACACTAAAGGGAACTATACTTGTTTAGCTGCTTTCTCCCATTGAAACAGTTACTATTATTTGCCATTTCATAGCGGGAGGCTCAGAGTTTAAGCAGAAAGTCTGTCTAGAGTGTTTGTCAAACTTGGGATGTGGTAAAAATATAATGGCTAAAAAGGTAGGTCAGACCCAAACGAACAAGATCTAGAGAAAATGACTTTGTAAGGAAGTGAGGACAACCTTTTTTTGCTTGAGTCATTTGTCAAGCATTAATATTTCAAGGTGTAAGAGACTGAAGAACTAAGAAGGAAGCAGGTTAGAAGGCAAAAAAAAAAGAAAACAACAAAAAAAACAAAAACAAAACCCTTTTAGCAGTCTCACAGCACCAAAAGAACACAAATTGGAAATTAGAATCTTCCAAGAAAGAGAGGCAATGGTAAAACTCAAATTTTTCAGGAATATGGGCAAAGTAAAAATATTACAGCTTCTACAAAGCTTCAAACCAGTTCTCAAACTTTATTAATCCTAGCTTAGACTGAGAGAATCTGCCCTTATACTAACTACTCACTAGAATAATTAAATATTCTTTGATAAAGATAATGTCACATAGAGCTTCCTGTCTTGGCAGTCTTTTATATACAATGTTTAGAATTCAAAACAAATTTACAATAGTACCAAATGATCAAAAAACAAGAGAAGGAATAAGTACTAGAAACAGACCCACAGATGATCTAGGTAGTGAAATGATAAAACAGAAATGTAAAAATAATTGTAATCAATATGTTCAATAAAATAGATGACAAAATAGTTTCAAAAAGCATAAGAATATATATAATATATAACATATAACATATATATAGAATATAAATATAAATATAAATATAAAATATTCAAATGGTAGTTCCAGAACTGAAGGATACAATAACTGAAAAGAATATTTGTGAGTAAATTACCAGAAGATTAGATATAAGAAAACAAAAATGTAGGTCAGTAGAAAATAACCAGATTGAAAAACAAAGAGAAAAGAAGGTTGGTCAAAAAAAGAAAAAAGATTAGGAGACATAAGTAATGTCGGAAATGGTAAAATGCATATGTAGAAGAAAAGAGAGAAGAGGGAACATGAGACTGAAGCAATAGTTGAAGAGACAATGGCAAAACATTTTCCAAGGCTGTAGAAAGATATCAAGATACAGTTTTTTTTTCATTTTTTAATGTTTATTTATTTTTGAGAGAGAGAGAGAGAGAGAGAGAGAGAGCGAGCATGAGAAGGGGAGGGGCCTCAAGAGAGGGAGACAGAATCCTAAGCAGACTCCAGGCTCTGAGCTGTCAGCACAGAGCCTGACATGGGGCTTGAACTCATCAACTGTGAGATCATGATCTGAGCTGAAGTCTGATGCTTAACTGACTGAGCCACCCAGGAGGCCCTCAAGACACAGTTTTACAAAGAACTGCTACTCTCCAAAATTATAAATACCCAAAACATCACATCTATGCACAATTTAGTAAAACTTATGAAAAAAATAAAGGGAAAATAAAATCTTAAAAACAGCCAGAGTAAAGAAAAAAAATTCCACATTATTTGACTTCTCCAACTAGCAGTAAAGGACTCTTATTCTTACAATTTCTTACATTCTTACAGTGATATATTTCTCTAACTGAATTCATCCTAATGCCCCTTATCCTAGAAATTCAAAAGAATTCAAAAATAAATGTGTATGGCTTGGTAATTTGAATGACAAATAGTCACATTAAAAAAATCAGCTTGAAGACATTTAATCATTTCTCCTTTTCCAGCCTGAAATCTTTTCCCTTTATAATTTTATTTTGAAATTTAGGAGGTGACATTTGTTTCTTAATTGGGAATTTTAACCTTGAGACCAACTCTTCAACTTGATTTGTCATTTTCTCATGAGCTATCCCCCACTGACCCACTCAAAATACAAACTTTGAAGTTCTTAAATTCACAGTGACCATGAAATTTGAATCTTTGTCTTTTGGTCATAATACCATTATACAATATTTATAAGGATGTAGGAAAGGTTTATTTTACATTTAGGAAGATAAAACTGTATTCTTTAAGTGTATTCTTATTTTCCTGTGTAATAAGAACTGTATTCTTATTTTCCTGTGTAATTCCCTGATGATGAGTGATGTTGAGCATCTTTTCATGTGTCTGTTAGCCATCTGGATGTCTTTGGAAAAGTCTATTCATGTTTTCTGTCCATTTCTTCACTGGATTACTGTGTTTTGGATGTTGAGTTTGGTTAGTTCTTTATAGATTTTGGATACTAACCCTTTGTCCGAAATATCATTTGCAAATATCTTCCCCCATTCTGTTGTTGCCTTTTAGTTTTGTTGATTGTTTCCTTTGCTGTGCAGAAGATTTTTATTTTAATGAGGTCCCAATAGTTCATTTTTGCTTTCATTTCAGAAAAATGAAACCTTGCTATTTGCAGCAATGTGGATAGACTAGAGTGTATTATAATAAGTGAAATAAGTCAGAGAAAGACAAATATCATATAATTTCACTTATATGTGGAATTTAAGAAACACAACAGATAAACTTAGGGGAAGGGAAGGAAAGATAAGATAAAAACATAAAAGAGAGGCAAGCCATGAGAGACTCTTAACAATAGAGAACAAACTGAGGGTTGCTGGAGGGGAAGTGGGAGGGTGGATGGGTTAAATGGGTGATGAGCACTAAGGAGGACACTTGGGATGAGCACTGGGTGTCATATGTAAGAAATGAATCACTGGATTCTACTCCTAAAGCCAAGATGACACTGTATGTTAACTAACTTGTATTTAAATTAAAAAAAAAAAAAAAAAAACAAATACAAAGTAGCCCACCATGCTGGTTTCTATTTAAACCAAATTTGAAAGAAGAATCATCATTTCTTTTGGATTTATATTTTGTTCATTTTTCATTGGGACAGACTTTCATCTAAACAAGAAGAAACACGTGAACTACAATGGTAAATATGAGGAACAAAGACTGATGGAAGAGGAAGCAAAAAGACAATGGAGGAAATATTTTAGGAAATTATGGTATAAAAAGTAGAAAAGAGGAGAGGTAGAAAGGAATTATTCAAGAAAATATAAAAGGGAAAGAGTCAGTATTAGACATTCAGATTCAACAGATATTTTTGAACCTCTGTGGGTTTGCCTGTGTGCTGGGCTCTGAACAAAATGAAAAAGGCCTCTGCTTCCAAGGAACTTATATTGTAGTTGTTGTGTATCAGTTAAGATTAGGTGGCCTGTATGAAAAAAATGTGTGAAAAGATTTTAAAATTCATATTGTTTTTCTTTAACCCAAAATAAAACTGAACTTAACCCAGTGTTGGTTAAATTCTACCCTGAAGGCAATCACTGTTCAAAACAGCTGCTGTGGCCCCCAGCTTCCCCATTCATTACCAGACAGCAAAAAAGGGGAAGAGAAAATAAAGCAAAAGGGAAATATTATCCCTTAAGGAACCAACCATACTAGGAGTCTCTTCCCAAAACTTTTAACTTCTAACTCATTAGTCAGGGTTTAGTCATGTTGAAACCTTTAGCATATATGGAAGAGTGGGAAGTAAAATATTTTTGTTGGGCATATCACTGCTCCAAATAATACTCGTTGTTTGCTCTTAAAGCAGAAAGCAAGAATGGATATCGTGTAGGGATCCAGTTGGCTCTGCCATGGATAGAAATGTGAACAATGTGATCTTTGATTATTATTTTATATTTATTTGCTTCTTATGGTCTTCAAACCATGGCTATATTTATAATGATAAAAAAAAAGAGACTTATGTTGCCTGAGTCTATTTTCTCCTAGTTGGCCCTATCAGTTATTGTTCATCTAAATCTACTTTTCCTTTTTTCCATTCCCTAAGAGCTTACTTGTTTTTAGTGGAACTGGGAAAATTGTTTAAACTCCAACGTGACTCACAGAACTACTTGCAGATGTTGCCTTTGAACATTTGGAGACTAATGAGAGGTGCACACTAATCTCATTAGATTATTCACAAATAAAAACAATAATTTTATATTCTTAATAGTTTAAGATCCAGAGATTTGGCACAAGACACTGCCAATTCAACCCTATTTCCAGTTACTCATACTGAGGACATATCTAAATAAGTTCCAGAAGCACCTTAAAGTTTCAATCCCATTATAATTCCTGTGGCTAATTACTGGTGGCAGAAGGACTGAGTTTCTCTTTCACATATTAGTTTTGGAAAGTTAAACTCTGTTAGAGTACTAATAAGGAGTATGCTGATTGCTTCTCAGCTCCTACTTCCCTCCCTCACACTATTAGAAAATAAACGAATGGTTAAATCTTTCTCTGAATCAATCATGCAATTTCCTGAGCACAGGAGCTTTACAATTTGCAGTATGCTTTTCCCTGTAGTATCTCACTTTATTCTCATACTTTCCCTGTAAAGTATAACAATTTGCAGTTATTACCCACATTGTACCGTATCTGGGGGTCTGAGGAGTGACCTTGAATTGTTCAAGTCACTTGGCCTGTAAAATTTGAACTATGACCGATTAAAAAACATTTTTTCACTATAATTAATGTCCTTTTAATCTACCCACAAATTTTCAGTAAAATTATTTTCCTATGTTGCTGTTGCCAATACAGAAGCAAAAACCAAAAAACCAAAAATGTTCTATGTTGCTTCTGCATTCCCCTCTTTTAATTACATTCATACACACTTTCGCATCTCTCCCTTTTCTGCCCTTCCAGAGCAATTGGTTTTGTAGCTATCCCTTAATTAATGCCCGTTCTTCACCCATTGGTATAAAGGGCAGGAATGAAATATCAAAACTTGCTTTGTGATCGTAGATTCACTCCTGCTGCGAGGCTGAATGAAAGGAATAAAATTTCAATTAAGCAATTACGGAGGAGTGCCGCTGAAAGCCTCAGGGGTGCAACTGTTCCTCTCCATGATTTTTGCAGCCCTCATTGACCATATGTTGAATTTCCATTTTCCATGGTTTCCTCTCAGGCGGAAATCCCCACATATTGACATGCGTGTAATGGAGGAGCACCACGTGAGGCCCAGTTTTGTATTTATCCAAGCCCACTTGCTTCAATGTCTGTGACAAGAGTAGAATGGGTACCAGCAAGAGGCCGGACATTTTCGATGCCCTGTCAAAGCCTGGCTGTGCTTGGTCCTGTGATGATATGGAAATGGCTCCCTTCTTATTGTGCAAGCCAAGCTCACATGTGGATTAGCCCTTTGAACACCAAGTCCATTTCTTTGCTTTCATTGTTTAGTACTTGTAAGCCAGAACCTGCATAAAGAGTAGGCATTCCCGTTTCCAGCCACGTAGACTGACTTCAGAAAGCTTAAGAGAGGCGAGCTCATAGAGTCACGTTGTCTCCAAGACACCAAAGAAGCCAAGTTTGATTGTGTTTTCCTGTCTTTCAACTCATAGACTTCAGGTTCCTGCAAGTTGTGAGCACAAACTATCACTCTATAGATACTCAAGGCACTTGGAATCAGTCACCACATGTCTACCCACTGGAATTAATTTGGAGTAACAACATGTTCTGTGGATATTTCTTAGTTGCTTTTTTTTTTTCAGTGCCTTTGCTCTGAGATTATAAAGCACATATTTAAAAAATTCTAATAGTTCTAAATGTGAAAATAATGCTTTAAATACTAATGTTATATACTAGTACTACTAATATGCTACATTTACATTACAATTCAAATTTGTCATGTCATTATTGTTTCTTTGCATTGCTGACCTTGATGTTAAGAAACAGAAACACGTGGAAGCAGTAGTGATCTTTTGTATCATTATTTTATGAAAGGGGATCTACGATTCTGAAGCAGAAGTATTCAGGAGTTTGTTTTTAAATGTTAATACCATTGTCAATATACTCTAGAACTTAAAAAATGTTACAAAGAGTGCTGAAGAAAGAACTTTATTTTTTAAAAACATGAAAAATAAAAAGGAATATTCATTGAATCTTCTCCAGTCCCTATCCCTAATACCTGAGCCTGCAGAAGTGAACACAGACCACACTATCCTTTGCAAACAGGGTTTCGAGGGCTCCCTGTAGGACCAAGCCCAGTGTCCTCACTGGTGCATTCCAAACTGTAATGGTCTGATCCATGCTTTGTTTAACTTCTCTATTTCCACTGTCTCACTTAAGTTCTAGTAATAGCATTTTACTGAATTTTCCTGAATAGTTTTAAGCTCCTACATAATTTTCCTAAATTGCTTCAGCCTACAATGATCTTCCTTTCTTATGGATTGAATTGTGTTTCCCCCCAAAAGATACGTTGAAGTTATAACCCCCAGTATCTCAGAATGTGACCTTATTTTGAAATAAGGTTAATGTAGATGTGATTAGTTAGGGTAGGTGGGCCACTAATACAGCATGACTTGTGCGCTTACTCATAAGACAATGGCCATAAGAAGGTTCAAACACACAGGGAGAAGTGATGTATCTATAATGACTGCCAACCATCACCAAAAGCCAGGTGAGAGGCATGGAGCAGATTCTCCCTCATGAAAAAACCCTTAGAAAAAACCAACCCTATAGACACTTTGATTGTGGACTTCCAGCTTCCAGAAATATGAGAGAATACATTTTTGGTGTTTTAAGCTACCCAATGTGTGGCGTTTTATTACAGCAGCCCTAGGAAATGACTATATTCTCCATTTCCAACTGCTATTGTCTGCCCATTCTATGGAGCACAGTTTAAACATAATCGCTATTCTCCCTAGTTCCTCCCTGAAGGAAGGCTATCAGAAATCTCTTACACCTACCTCATTTCCTCTCACCCTACCTTGTTACTCTAGCCATTTCTATGCAGTCAGCTGCCTACAGACACAACCTGACAGGACCTCATTCCATAACAGGGCATGTCTTTACTTTCTTCCCCTAACCTTCTCTGCTTCCACCAAGTGAGACTTCTCCAGGCTGCAGAAACTGCTCAGTCATACTAACACACACCGATCTGAAAGAGCAAAGGAGTTAATATACTGGAGGGCTGTGAGCCAGTAAACTAATACTCCTCTGTAATGTTCCTTGGATGGATGGTTCTGAGACACATTTTACCCAGGAGCTTGCAGGACTGAGCGGAACCGAGCCCACAGAAAACCAGCTCATCACTACAGCTTTAGATTGCCTTTCCCTTCATTTCTGTGTCATTTTTTTCAGTTCTCTACTTTTTGAGGTCACATTCTGAAATAATTCAGTGTCACAAAAGCTTTAGTCTTAAGTTCTGCTTTGGGGGTAGAAGGTAAGCAGGCTGAGACATTTTTCCACCATAGATTGACTTTGCACTGTAAATATTCATGTGGAAAATGCTGCTTTGCACTTGGTTATTTGTGAATGCATATGACTGTCCTGATTCATCAGGAGGCTCTGGCTGCTGTGGCTGTGAGGGATGTCTGTAGCCTAGCTTTATCTAATGTAGGACCCAGGCCAAAGAAAAAAGTAAAAACAACAAACAACCACCAATAGCAGGTTCTAATACTATATATCTAAATATTTAAAGGTAACAATTCAACCTAATAAATTATCAAATAAAATAGGTACCCTCCTTCCACTTGACAAATACGTCTTCGTAATGACCTGGAAGGCCAGGTTAAATTCAGGAAACTTGGATTTTTTTTTCTGGTATGGGAGTCCCGTACCAGAGCACAGCAGGGAGAGAGGGAGCCAGCACTTGGCCTGAAGCTCGTCCCGCTTTTCTTTGTATCACACCCCAAATACCATCCCACTTTGTCCTGTACATGTGGACTCCCTATTCAACTCTACCGCCTTGGGTCTAGGGATTACACATAATGGTTCAGTCTGCCTTTGATGGGATAAAGCCTGGAAGAAAAGTCAGGACCACTGGACATGGAATTCCGAGATCCTGAGGATCCAGATCATGACCCAGAAGGGGCTGTGTGATTTCAAGGTGGGCATATCACAAAGAATGGTCAAGAAGTTTGTTCAATAAGGAAGGTTTGTTTCATAAAGAATTATCGCCAAGCTAAAATGGGCAGTAACAAATCCCTGAAATCGTAGTGCTTGTGAACAAAAACCATAAATAAAATAAATACAACCACACTTTACAACACAAAAAGGTCTTTGAAAATAGGGCTTGTTCCTAGGTAAAGTTGATGAAAATCAAAGAGTGCTTCAGGGAGCACTGAAAATCCTGCTCACTGCCCATCGACATAGTTCTAGGTATCCTTTCATTATCCTTGAGAATTCCAGAATTCCACATCAAAGAGAGAGTAGGGTAATCCCAGAACCCCTGTGGTTAACAGGTAAGTACAGAGGGCAACCCAAAGGCTTATCTCTTTCTCTGCCATCTTCTAACCCCATCCCAAACTTTGGTTATATCCCCTACATTGGCAAAATTAGCTGGATTAAATTTTCTGACTGAACAAGTTTAATGATGATGTTTCCCTTCAGTTAGTTTACTCTGTTTTATTTTGTTTTGTTTTGTTTTCCTATTTGTGTACTTATTTATTTGAATATCTTCTTTAAAAACCCTATCAAGTAATTTGAAAATAGCTATATGGATACAGTGTTAAGCAATCCCATACACCTGTTTTTTTTTGATAAATGGTATATAATAAACAAATTTTTAAAAAGGCTTTTGTCTTGCACTCAAAGGATACACACTATAAAGCTATGCAAATTCTTATTACATTATTTAGTACTGAGCAAACTTATTCATCAATTGTCTTGCACATGCTCTTTTCCAACAACTCATAGTATTTATAATTCATCCATATCAAATAGTGTTTACTAAATGCCTCTCTAGATAACACATTCACTGTATAATTCTTGGTGTAGCTATTAAAGAGTTAGCTTTATTTTTTGGCATTTTATAGTGAGTGGAGGTATCATGGAATGTCTTAGGTAGGGTGTTTTTACCTTCATTTACCTCCCCCCATTCCTACCCCTGCCTTGATATTCTTATAGTTTCTAAATATTATGGAAGCATGAATAGCACCATGAAAATTTTCTATATGTATTGATGTATAATATACAGCCTAAAGAAAAAAATCACAGTGTGCACACTACACAGTAAAGACCACTTTCTCCATTCCAGCCAGACTGTACCCATAAGCCCCTCCCATACAGAGATTTCTGAAACATTTGGTTTCTAGATTAAACAAACTTAAAAAAAAACCTTTTGACATTTATTTATTTTTGAGAGACAGCACAAGCAGGGAGGGGCAAAGAGAGAGAGAGACACAGAATCCAAAAGCAGGCTCTAGACTCTTGAGCTGTCAGCACAGAGTCTTATGTGGGGCTTGAACCCATGAACTACTTGAGCTGAAGTTGGATGCTTAACTGACTGAGCCACTCAGGTGCCCCACAAACTTTTTAGTAAATGGAATGGTACACTAAGATAACTTAAGAATTTTCCCAATACAGGAATGCTAGCAAACTATAATGAAAATTTTTTCAAATGTGTAGTTGAACACATGGGGAAGAAAGTAAAATCCTCAGGTGCTAACAATATACAAAGTACAGAAAACAAGAATGGTAAGTGAATGGGTGCTGTGGCTGTGTGGTAGGAAACTGGGGCAGGTGACAAGCCCTTGGACTCGTGTGAGGAAGGGAACTGTACATGAAATCTTGACCTTAATCCAGAACATTAAAATGACTGTACCCTTCAAACCAGAACACCCTTAGGCTCAGAGGGAGAATGCATGAAGGCTTTCCTAATGATATTTGGAGGTGGGTGGCTTTAAAGTAGTTAATTTCCAATTCTCAGCTTCCTAAAATTGATCTTTCATAGAATATCTGAGATTTTAAAAAATGCTTATGCCTAAAGTGAATCCATCTGGCATATGCTGGTTCTCAGTGTTACCTCTCTTTTCATAATCACCCTTTCCCAAATAATAAAAGACAAATTCTATGTCTCCTCTAACAGTGACCTTACTAAGGGGCTTTGGCCAAAAGTGTAACCTTCTCCATGTCAAACAAAGTGGCCATGGGAAGACTGATGATGGTGTTGGGCAAATGAGTATTTAATGACTGGGTAACTGATCTTTTCAGAAATCAGATAGTATCTAAATTGCTCTTAATTAAATTGAAGCAGGATCTACTTGGCATTTAGCTTAACATTAAAAATAAATATTGATGACAGTGTTTTCTGCCATATAACTGAGATTAAATTAGTTCAATTATATGTCAATGCTGCAACAATTCCCATCTACTTACTTATGTAAACATGAGTTTTCAGCATTTATAGCTATTCAACTTATAATTATGAATAAACCCAGTTTCATATTAGAAATACAAAACATTCATCAATGGATAAATTCATAAACTAATTTTGAAAAGACTTGCACATAGAGCAAGTGTGTGTAATAATTAACAATATGTTATTTTGCTACTGGCTTCCAAAAAATAGCTGTAATAATGGCTCAAGTGATGAGAAAATAATAATACTAAGAGCCTTATGATTTCAAGAAATACAAAATGAAAATATAAATTTGTAATCTGATTTTGCCCTATGGAGATATGTTAGGGTAATCAATTAAAGATAAAGAATTCTGAGCTCAATCCATTCTGAATCTTTTTCTATTCATTCCAAATCTTTTTACATGCTCTACTCTCTAATGGAATGTCTTATTTATTTATTTATTTATTTATTTATTTATTTATTTATAGCTACCACCAATTTTTAAATTCCAAGTACAGGCTAGGAACCTGTTCTGTTTGGCCAAATACCAGGTTTGGTAAAGCTACATTTATGCTACCAATGAGTTCCAATAGGACCCTTGGCTATAATGTAGGGACTGAAAAGTGACAACTGAATGGACTGAAAAGTGACCACTGAAAAATAACAATGCATTTCAGAGTTTAAGTATGATTGCTTTAGTCAAAAAGTAGAATTTTACTAAAATTCAACTTTGCCTTTATCTAAATATCTAGCAATGCACATAATGGCACTGGCACATATATTTGGATTTGACCCTGGGTCACCGTAAAGGTACAATTGGTGATGTTCCTTACATAGACAAGTGTATAAATATTTCATTCCAATGACTAATGACTATATTCTATTATTTACTCTATAACATTTAAGTTCTACTCTTCTATACCTAATTGGCTAAAGAATGGCAAGATAACATGACTGATACTAAAGACGATAATGTAATGAGCTTGTAAAGAGCATCACAAAGTACTATACAATTTGTTCAATTTACCTTGCATAATTTAGATTTGTTCTAGTTTGTCAAAAAGTGCCTTTCATGCATTTTTTCCCTCTGTATGGTCTTTAGACTGGAATACAATGCATCAGATTACTACATTCATAAGGAAATTTTACATGTAACTCTATGTAGTGAAAGAGTGTTGTCCTTAGTCAACTTTAGCCAAGTTTCCTGAAGCCTGTATCATGTATTAATATGAAATAAACAAAATATGCAATAAAGGCTAAGGAAATGTTGATGTTATCATGTATTCTATATGGAAATATACCTTGGCTGACATTTTAATGACATATAAAGATTTTTTAAAGATTTCTGAACTAGTTGTTTTGGCCTATATATACAGCTTGCTCAGTTTCAGGACATTTTGACATGATAATATCTCATATCCTGTAACTGATATAGCAACTACCCAACTAGACGAGGTTTTTG